TAATAATAATAATAATAATAATAATAATAATAATAATAATAATAATAATAAATAATTAGTGAATAAACAAAAACAAAAAAAAAAGAAACATCACTATAAGCTTATCTCTATCATTACTATTACCAATTTTACTATTTACTAATTCCAAGGCTCTTCTTCTTCATTAGATGCGACTATTGCCTTAATTGCCGGTTCCAGATCGAGTTCCCGTTCACACGCCTCTACAATCTCCCATTCACGCCGGTGGCATCTTTCTCTTGCGGCGAGTAAACGAAATCTCAACTGCATACACGCCGTTGCCTCTTCATTCACAATCAACAGACGATCTTCAATCTCCGTAAAGTCTACCAATTCCTCACGAAGCATTGTACAGGAAACTCCAATTCGTTCACCTTCTTCTATTCTCATTATTTGCCATCTATCGTGTTGCTCTAAAAGGTCCAATTGTTTAAAGAGTGTTAAACCAGATATTCGTCCACAAACAAACGTTTTTGACATCACCGCCCCATACAAAAGTGGAAAACGTTCTAAATGTTCTTGCATATGAATATAAGCCACTCCATGTGCATACTGTGTACATATCTGTAGTCGCTCCACTGCTGTTCGGTAGAGTTGCTCCATTACAGTCGTGAGAGCCGTGAAGAGTTGTTGTTGGGATTCCCAATATTCCATTGTGATTTCATTACGGGATGTGAACTCTTGTGTAAAGAGACGTTCTAATCGTGCATGTTGCCGCATTTTACGTCCTCTATATAACCACAACCACTTTTGTAAATATTTCTTTAATGGTGCTGTTCCCATCACAAAACAACGATGTTCATAGATAAATAAATCCCACAATGGGGCTATTTCACTTGCCTCTTCTGTTAATAATTCTCGTCTAAGAATTTCTTCTGTGAGGGAAATCTCTTTACAACCGGTTACCAATGCTGGATGAAGTGTTTCTGGTGAGGCACATGGTGGGAGTGGAAGTGTACTAATCGCCTCATATCGTTCTTCCTCCACAATTGCCTGTCGAGCAACACATTCATCCCGTAAGAGTAATGAAAAAAGAGTTGCAAACTCTCTTGGTCCCAAATATACCCATTTTTCCTTTTTCTGATTTTCTTCTTCTTCTTCTTCTTCTTTTGGTAATGGTTCATTTTCATCTAATTCTTCTTTTTGATGAGCTGCATCAGATTCCAAAGCTTTAACGGCAATTTTGGTAGGGATGATACGTTTTATATGATTACTATCTTTTACCATTTTAGGGGGCATCCGATCTATAGTACTTTGAGAACATTTTGCTGCCTCAAATGTATGGAGTCTTGGATCTTCTGATGATTCTAAAAGTCTCTTATCGGCTTTATGTTTCTCACTTGGAGAGGAATGAATATGTGAAATGTTATTACCAAATAAATATTGAAGTTGTACTTTAATAGAAGGGGACCAAAGTGGATGATTCTCACGTCTAACTACAGTACGTACATTATAAGATGGAATTTCTCGCCTTTGTGTTTTTGCTTTTATCTCCAATAAAGGTGATTGTACCTTGTCTGAATTACCTCTATATAAATGAGGTAATGTTACTGTTACTGGGGTCTCTTTCGTGTGAAAGGTATTTGTATCTACAGTAGTGGCAGGAGGAGTTTTAGACAAAGATGGAAGTTGATGTGGACTTTGTGGAGATGTGCCTTCCAATCCACTAATTCCTATGGAACTACTCACAGAGTGTGAAGTTGGTATTTCTGTGGGAGGATCTAGTGGCTGCAGAGGCCATGTGCTGACGAGATGGCGCCGTTCTTCTTCTCTTTCTCTTTCTGTTCTCCTACTCATGGATGTAGGGAATTAAAGAAGAAAGTAAATAGAGAGAAACTACAGGGGGAAAACGGGATGATTTTCCCTTCAAACTGTTCTTTGGTTGTTGTTGTTGTTGTTGTTATCCTTTTTCTGTGATGTGTAACCCTTGTGTTCCCCACCCCACCAAAGAATTAGGAATGGGTACTAAACACAAAAAAAAAAATAATAAGAATAAATATTAAAAGAGAAAAGATATTATAAATGAACAATAGAAATAATAATAATAATAATAATAATAATAATAATAATAATAATAATAATAATAGTCAAGCCAGCTTTTATGGGACTGGCATAGTTAAAGATGTTTTCTTTTTTTCTTTCTTTCTTTTCTATTTTTTTATTTTCTATGATGTGCATGTACTGTTGCAATATATATATATATATATGAAAAAAACTAACCCTTAATAGCTACAATAGAGTTATTAATTATCTTCATGAGAAATACGCAGAAGAACCATCTCCATCTTCCCCGTGTAGAAGTGAACGATTCATTCGACCCAACTCCTCATTCCCTGAGAGAAGTTCTTGTGTTCGACTCATCATTTCCTGCAACTCCCGTTCCACTTCATTTTCCCTACGCCACTCTGTCTCCTGTGAGGATGTTAATATTAACTTCATTTTAGCCTCATTATCCTCTACAACATTCTTTCGAGATTCCGGTGAAAGACGAGCAAAACGACGGAATTGAAGGGCATGAGTGATATATCGAAACATAGGATGATGAGGAAGACACTTTACAAGCCGCATGGAACACTGTGTGGCATCTCGGAAAAGACAAGTAGCTACCATATTCTCTTCACTATCATCTACACCAGGAACTAGAAAAAGAATAGTACGATCATCAAAGTGACATCTTATCGTTCCATTGGTTAAGGCTGTAAAATTACCAATTCCATCAATAAAACTTGTTAAATACACAACATTCCCTTCAGCAGCGGCCATGGCAAGAGCGGGATCATGAGAAAGAATACGCATTCGAGTTCTATCCAATATGGCTTCTGCTGAATTTACTTCAGTTTCTTCATTAGGTGAAGTTAATGGGTCATTACCACCTAATCTAGATATAGAGTTTAATTGAGTATTTCCAGTAACAATAGATGCCATTTCACCAAGATCTCTTTCTCTTTGTGCCCGAAAAGATGCAAGATTCAATTGTGATATCTGAATACATGATGTACCCACTTCTGGGAGATAACGACCACGATTAAGAGAAGATAATGGAACTTCTTCAAGAATACCACTAAAATACAATGAAGATGATGAAATTTTAGAATTTACTATACCATTACTACGGTCACCCTCTATAAATATAGATGTCTCATCTAAAGAGTTTCGCATCATATTACCAACTCTCATATTTTCTTGTGTAGATACATTTCTACTTTTTTGCTGTGTAGGAATAATCACCGGTGGTAGTGCGAGTTCACCGTCAGAGCTTTGATGGTATTGACTGTGTGTCCCATCACGACGCCAGTGATGTACAATGTAACTCTTTCCTTTTGGTTCTGCAAGAACAGCACTTTCATCCTCTCTTACCATTGCAAGTACAGATCCCGGTGAAAAGTGTTGGACTCCACGCATAGGGGATGATCCCATATCTCTATGGTTATACATATGTTTCTCATTATGTATGTTATTCTCATTTTCGTTGTTTAGATCACGTGCGTGAAGTCCCCAGTAAACGGCATGAGGAATACGTCCAACAGGATCAGCATCATAACGCCAGAGAACTCGTTCCCATGGATTTCTTATATGTCTATTGCAAGTAGCGTTTTGCATTTGTGTAGTAGCGATAAGGGCGTGAATGTGATCTCTTCTTAACTTTGAAAATCGACACGGATGTCGGTCTTGGGCTGTACGGGGAGTAGTTCTATACAACATCTTTATACTCTCTTCTTCACCATTCCCTCCCACACTTCCTCCTTCTTCTTCTTCTTCTTTCTTCTTATCATCATTCTTCACACTCTCTATTTCTTTTTCTTTCTCTTGTGGTATAGATGATTGAGAGAAGTTGTTATTATTATTATTATTATTATTATTATTATTATTATTATTATTATGATGACTAACACCCTCCTCTTCTTTCTCTTCCGCATCGAGCTGCAATGCTGTCTCTAACATCTCCCTCCATTCCATTGGTGGATCCTCCACGGGAAATGTCTGTTCCACCCACACATAATGAAAAGCCCGCAGACTCGCAAGTGTTCCCCGCACATATCCATTCTCATCCACAGGCCGAACAAAAATAGAACGGGCTCCATTCCGTTCAACCGCCTGTGCAGGCCAACGCACAGAAAAAGTAATCCGTCCACCATGAAGTGTGAGTGAAATCCGCCGCAGTGCACACCAGAGAGTTGCACGGGATCCATGCCGTTCAAATAATTTACGATCGGCTGCAATGACAAGGGAATCAATGGGACTATGTAATCGCCAAACTTCACACGTAGTTGCGGTGAGGCCGGCAATAATACGAGGACGAGGAGAGTAATAATTATAGATTTGTAAAGCCTCCTTTACCTTATTCTCATACTTGGAAAGGGTAAGAGATGTAAAGAAGTAATCCCCTTCAGTGATATCACAACTACCTACTCCCAAAGAAGAAGTGGCTTTACTACTACTACTACTACTATAATTATTATTAGTACTAGTAGTATTAGTATTAGTAGTATGTGAAGGAGTTACATTTGCCGTGATGGCAACAAATGTCTGCATTTCATCACAGAAAGAAAGAACAGTGCCATCACCAAAAACAAAATCTGCAGAACCGTCTGACCACGCACAAGCTCTAACTACACGATCTGCAACCGATACTTCATTATACGCAGACATTACCGTTTGTGAAGTATATGCGTCTTCTCCTGTTGTTTGTGTATATGTGAAGTGCGGTGTGCGTAGGAGTGATGCTAATGATGACATTTGTTTGTGTACGTCTGATTGTGCGCTAGTAAGTGTACATGATCACATGTATTGTATATAATAAAGAAAAATAATAACAACAGAGAAAGAGAGAGAGAGAGAAATAATAGAAACATCAAAACCAAACAGAAAAAAAGAAATAAAAATAAAAAAAACAAACAAATCGTTACAAATGAGAGAAAATTCCCCATCATATTACTTTCCCCTACTACAGAGACACGATACAATTTTTCTACTATTTAGCAGTAAACTGTTTGGAATGCAGTGTGTATGCATTTGCATAGAAAAGTAGAGCGATTAAAACAAATCGATAGTCACAAAAAAACAAAACAAAAAAAAAAATAAAAGTAAAAAAGAACGCATACACAAAGTACAGTAATAAAGAGAAACAAAAAAAGACACGATAGGAAAAAAAAAGAGAGAGAAACACAATATACGAGAAAAAAGAAAAAAAGAGGGTACTTATCCAGATTTATAATCCATGACAGTATTGACTAGAGCACCATAAAATTCCATCCCGGATAATTCAATATGATGTTCCCCAACGGCATCTGGACCCGTAAGCTCCAGTGCCAAATATCGAAAAGCACAAAAGGCAGTATCAGCAGTACCACAGTGCCAAATAACTCGTGCTTGATCAAACACACATTCTCGATCGATGTTAAAAGTGCCAACATTAAAAGGAGAAGCACCTAAAGTATTATTACGTCGTTGTTCATCCAATACTACCCAGTGACTCTTATCACGACTTCCAAGTAAACGCCATGAACGTAGGGCGGCGTGTTCAGATGCATGACCATGGCGAAGGGCATAAGCTGTACAATCTACCCAACGTCGATCACCAAAATCAAATTCTATTCGAGCCTTTTCAAATGAAGCTGTACGAAAACATTGTTGTTGTAAGACAGTTGTACTAGTACGGGAGGCATCTACGGCAGTACAAAGAGAGGAAAGACGTCCAAGAACAATGGGAGCATTACAATGTACACGAATCGCATCACTTTCTATGGGATTCCAAAATGGTTTGGTTCCTCCTGAAGTCGCAATATAATGTAACATACCATCTTGTAACACCATACACGATCCTACTATTTTATCCGCTTTTGTTGTTTTTATTATTGTTGTTGTTGTTTCTGAATGGAGTGGGAGATAAACACTGTTATCTGTAATAGGGACGGTGAGGGCGGAGGGAATAAACGATGGGGCGGGTTCCTGCAGTAATGTAAGGTGTCGCTCTGCCATTATAGGCCGCGATGTCACTGTATAGCACACTGGCCGCGGTACATCAAAGAAGGCAGACTCTCGCAACCATGCCTCTCGTGATTTCATATTAATATCATTATCATCATTATTATAATAATCCTCCTCTTGTTCATATTCATTATCGTTATCATGATTCCTGCTGTTCCTCTGGCAGAGTCTTTGTGTACAGTCGTCTATCTCTGCAATGACGCGTCGAAGTTGTGCCCGCCGCCCCTCGCAGTCGTCCCGCAGCGCCGCGTGAAGTTCCGCCTCTCGTGCCCGCAGCGCTGCGATGATTTCAGCGGCCGCCGCCTCAAGTCGCCGCTCCGCCGCCGCCGCCCGCGCGTCGAGGAGATCGAGTTGGGCCACCGCCGCCACCCGCAGCTCCCGCAGGTCCAACAGCCGCCGAGCAACAGCGCCTTCCTCCATCAAAGAGAAAGATATAAAGATATATATATATATAGAAGTGGTGATTCTTCTTTTCTTTTTTATAGTTTTTTTTGTGTTGGTTTGACCTTTCTCAACTCTCTCTCTCTTTCTTTCACTCAGTCAGTAAGTGGAAACCTCTGTTTTTTTTTTTTTTCTTTCTTTACGGTGGGGAGTATATATATATATATATATATCACCGGGACTAGGCGACAATCATAGGAAGGTCGCCACAGAGGCAGAGGAAAAGAAATGAGGAAAAAAAAAGAAAAAAGAAAGAAAATAAAGCAAAGGGATATGAGAAGTAATGATATGAAAAAACTTTATTTATCTTTTTCTTCTCCTTTTGGCTTTTTTTTTAACTTCACAAGCCATACAAAGGGAATTAAGTACCCGCAAGTACCATTTAATAGAAACTGCACCAAAAACAGGTACAGCAGCATAAACTGATGAATGGAAAAAAAATTTCTTATCTGCTAAAAGAGACTTAGTGCTCCAAGAACATATTATATATATAAATATATATTGGTTTTAGACTCTGGTTTGTACTTTTCTGTATTTATTCTTTTTTTTTTCTTCTTTAAAAAAAAGAAAGAAACGGAGAAAGGTAACGCCAAACACACACACAAAAAAAAAAACGAACGTATTAAGAAGAATAAATTAAAAAAATGCCCTCAGAACTTTCTCCTTGTCTAATAAAACACCAATCCGAAGTATTGTTAGACGTGAGTGCCCTTCCTTTGTCTCTCTAGCGCATTTTCAACTCATTGTTTTCCCTTTTTTTTTTTACTCTTTTTATTCTTATATTCTGGCAATGTTTCTCCGAATCCTTACCAAAAATGGACTATCCATGTGCCTTTTCTTGTTAGTCTGTTAATTCCTCCAATTTGAATATATAAATATACCCAATTTTTTTTAAAAAAAAAATGAGTAAAAAAAAAAAAGAAAAAAGTTGAACTCCCATCGTCCATCCAACTTCCTTTTCACGGTTTGCATGTCTGTCGCCTCTTCACCCATCCAAAAAAAAAAAAAAAAACGACAGACAAGAAGATATAAATATATATATATAAATATATATATATAAATATTAGTATCTGTGCGTCTCTCTCTCTATCTCTCTCTCCCTCTTTGTAATGTATTGGCATATTCTTTTTTTTTTTTTTCTTCTCCCCTTCTCTTCTCTTCTCTTCTCTTATCGTGGCGGCACCTTGAGAACCTTAATAAGTGTTGCCAGGAGATTAATATCATCTTCAGAAAGTTCATCCTTGAACTTCTTAATAGCCTCAACAGATGGCCGAGTAATGAGTGAGAGTAAGGTGTCGGATTTGGTGAATTGACGATCATACACCACACCACTCTCTCCTGAATTTATTTTCACCGCACACTCAACTCCCATACGGGCATTAGGGATACTCTTGTTATCACGCTCTAATGACATCACCCGTCCAATTACAAGTGGAATATCATTCTTCAGCACGGCAAGAGGTGTACCAGGACGAAGTTGTCCACGTTCAACTTTAACTGGTAAAATAATGGGATCGGAATTATGAATTGCATCACCAACGATAGAGAGTTGAACAGGAAAGACAGCAATGGCACGAGCTCGCTCCTTTTCGCGATGTTCGTACTCTGCAATATATCGTGTAAACATATCAAAAAGATGATAAATAATTTTAGCTTCAAATATATCAATTTCATTTTTCTTTGCAATTTCACGAGCATCTTCAGATACTTGAACATCAAAAACCAACACCACCGCATATCGTGGTGCCTTACGCTTCATTGAAAGTACTTGAATCATATGACGTTTATGTACAGGTCCAATAGAAGCACTTGCAACAGGAATTTTCATTTCTTTCAAAAATGAAAGTAATGCTTCCAATGAACCAAGTGTTGAACTTTGTACAGTTACACCTATACCATCAGGACTTAGTTGATCTGAAATACTGTTCGCTTCCTTCATAACTTCTTGTGCAATTTTTTCCTTGTTATCACCATTGTGTACAACAAATAAAGGTGTTCCTGGAACGACAAACTCAAGATCATTAGCAGCAATTTTAATTCCCATAGCTGCCTTCATTTCTTTATGATGAATATATTCTCCTCGTACACGCAACTCTTTTAGAGGTTGTGGTGTCAAAAGGGCACGAATTTGAGTAAATATAGGACCATTTTGACCACATAAACAAATATTATCTCCCTCATGAAGTACACCATTAATAAGGATAGCATCTACAGTAACTCCATATCCTGTAATAGGTTTAACCTCAAGGATAGTACACTGTAAATCATCCTTATATGTAACTTTACCTTCCATAAATTGTTGTACGAGTTGAATTTCAAGAAGCAAAAGATCAGATATACCTTCTCCAGTTTTCGCAGATGTAGGAACAATGGAAACCACTTTTCGTACATCTTTATTTTTGTAGTAAATTTGAGAGTTAAGTCCTTCTTCTTGAAGTTCTTGAATTACTTGTGTGAGTCGTGTATCAAACTCACTTCTGACATTATCCTTTTGCAATGAAAGAGTTTGTTCAATATCCATATTTGTATGAGGAACCCAATCATACAATCTATCAACTTTATTCAGTGCGATAATAAAAGGACATTTTTTCTGTCGTAAAAGACGAATAGATTCACGGGTTTGTGGTTCCAATCCATGCATAATATCCACAACAAGAATTGCAATATCACAAAGACTGCTACCACGACTGCGTAGATTAGTAAAAGATTCATGTCCGGGTGTATCAATAACGAGAAGACCTGGTACATTTAAATCATATTGGTACTTTTTATTAATATCCTCTGTCGCGTTAACAAGAGCTTCACGTGGGAAAAAGGTGGCTCCAATTTGTTGTGTAATACCACCTGCCTCACCTCCCTGAACATTAGTGGCACGAATACGATCTAGAAGACTTGTCTTACCTGTATCGACATGACCCAAAACACAGCAAATAGGTGAACGAAGATTGGATACATTTTCAAGCACATGTTCCTTTGCACGTTCCGCTGCTGCGGCCTCTTCTTTTGCCCGTTTCTTTTCTTCTCGTCGCTTTTGTCGCTCTTGTGCTCGTGTGATGCGTGCGGCTCGAATGCGTTCATTCTCCGCATGTCTCGCAGCGCGGCGGTCATCACGTTCCATCAGCGCCTCCCAATCATCTTCGTCCACTTCCGCATCCGACACGGTTGCCACTGTCACCGCGTCGTCTTCTTCTTCCTCCTCTTCTTCTTCTTCGTCCTTTTGTTCCTCCGGCGGGGCGGCGACGGGCTCCACGCGTTTCGTTGCCGGCTGCGGTGGTGGACGCTTCTTCACAGTCTCGCGTTCACGTTTCTGCTCCGCGCGGATTTTCTCCACGTCTGGGAGAATAAATCCGGCGGCGGCCATTCGTTCGAGTGCCCCGTTCGCCGGTCCCTTCTTGGCCTCCTTGCGACTCTGCCGCTCCTCCTCCTTCCGCCGGAGCCGCTCGCGGGCCCGCTCCTCCTCCTCGAAGCGCCGCTGCTCCTCCGCAATGCGCTCCTCCTCCCGCAGCCGCCGTTCCTCCTCCTCCTCCTCGCGACGGCGGCGCTCCTCCTCCTCCTTCTGCTTCTCCATGTGCTGCTTGAGCTTCGCAATCATCGCATTCGGGGGGCCTTTGCGGGCGGGGGCGCCCTTTGGGGTCGCCTTGGGGCCTTTAGGGGGCATGGTTGCTTATATTAACGGGGATTGCAGGTTTAGTGAGAGTCTCCACCAAAGAGAGAGAGAGAGAGAGAGACACACTGAGAGAGATAAATGTTTTCTTGATTTGGCCGTCCGTTGCCTCGGAGATCGTGTATAAATATGGATTCTTTACGTTGTGATCCGTCTAAACGTTAGGTAGCTAATTTTCTGTTTGTTATTATTTCCCTTTTCGTTGTTGTTTTTTTTTTGTGTTTTTGTTTGTTTGTTTTAAAGAAACAGGAATTCCTTTTTTTTTTATATTTTTCCGTTCTCGTTCCCCTTATTATTTTTTTTTTATTTTTGTTAATTTTTCTTTTTAGTTTCACTCCTTTTTCCACCCTTTAATTTTTTCCTTTAAATGACTTCAGAGACAGTGCGAAATGGGTCTGAAATATGTAACGTATACAAAAACAATAAGTAAGGATCTTATAGATATTTTTTTGTTTTTTTAGGGGATACCTCTTTTTTTTTTTTCTTTTTCTTTTATATATATTTTTTTCTTTTCTTTGCTTCTTTTATTATCTTCTCTTCTTGTAGTTTGTTTGCTTCCTTGTTTATTAGCAGCAGTCTGCAGACTAACCCAAGGAACAAAAAAAAAAACTAACCTACGACAGTTTCGTTTTCTTTTTCTTTCTTTGGCGTTATCCTATTTGTTCAGGTGGCCTTCCTAGTAATACAGACTCCTCTCGTGGAGAGCTAACTAATCTTTTAATGGACTTCAGCTTGAGCGTCGTCCTTCGCGGTTTTTTTGCTATTGTTTTAATTGCAGTGGCAAGAAACTATAAAGGGGATGGGGGCGCCATAGAAGTCAAAGAAAAGAAAAGAAAAAAAAAAACCAGCAAGAAAAAATAATTTTAGAAGTAGAAAAGAAAAATAAATAGATAAAAGAGTCCAAGATGTTTCTATTATTCATAAGGACCTCATGATTAGGGCACAGTCAGTTGTTATTAGAAATTGATATATAGATATAGATATTGTGAGTGTGTACATGTGAGTGAGTAAATATGAACCATAACTCTTCGTTTATTATTCCTTTCCTTTCTTTCTTTCTTTCTTTCTTTCTTTCCATATGCATTTCCTCAACAACAGTTCGGCTTCATCTAAACCTTTCTTTTTTCAGCTAATAAGAAGACTCCAGAGAGAAGCATCATTTCCACTCTTAGCGTAACTGCAGTGATCACAATACATATTCCCATTCATTTCAAAAAAAGAAAAAGAAGAAAAAGAAACAGAACTATATGAAAGTTTTTTTTTTCTTTAAAAAAATAATAATAAAAACTCACTCATACACACGTTGAAATACAGAAAAAGTAAAAAAAAAAAAAAACTTACTGCAAAATTCCTTAAAAAAACAAACAACAAACAAAGAAACAAACAAAAACACAAAAAACATATCTGTGAAAGAAATATAGGACGGTTTTCTTTTCTTTTTTTTTCTTTTTTTTGTACTTATTTCATTCTTTCCCAATAAAACAAGCAAAGAAAAAAAAACAAACAAAAGAATGCAATTAGAAAACCAAAGAAACAACAACAAACAAACAACAGTAACAAAATGAGGGTAAACGCATATATATATATATATATATATATATATAAGGCATTTATGCAGATTCCCCTCCTACTCAACTTCCCACATTTTTTTTCTTTCTTTCTTTTTCTTTTATTTCTTTTTTGTTCCTGCCTAAAATCATTATTACTATTATCATTTTTTCTTCCTTCTATATTTCTCTTCTTCTTCTTTTATTCTCTTTTCTTTTTCTTCTATTATCTGAAGTTGCACTTTACTGTGTCCTTCTTCTTCCTCTTCCTCTTTTTAGTATGAGGCCACAGAGGTCATTGTGTGCGCCATGAGTTCCTCCATTCCCTCCTCCAATGCCTGTGCGAGTTTATTTCCATATTCCCACAACTCATCCGTGAGAGCGGCGACATCCACGCGTTCGGCCTGCTGCGGTAAAGGCACAATCCACTCATACTCCAGACGTTCTCCCTCATCACCGGCCTTTGTGATGATCAGCGGTGTTCGTTTGGTCTCCACCAGCTGCAGCGTCACGCCAGTCGCTGTGCGTACCGCCCACTTGCGAATCACACGCTCACAACAGTAAATAACATCGCCTAATTCAGGCGAAAGCACAGACTGTACAGAGTCACGGGTGCTGCGCAGAATATCCGCCTCCAAGTAGGCATCGGAAACACGTTTTTTAATAGGATGTCGAGCACGCACAACATATCGTAGATCTGGCATTTTACTACGTACATAGTGAGAAACAAGGAAACGATCCCAAGGTTTATTTAACATGGTACACTTCATTTGTCCATTAAGTTCACAATCAAATAATTCTCCCATGCGTCTTATGTTCACTTTATAACTTGTGGTTGGTTCCTGAACGAGACTCATACCAAGATTAGCCGCAAGAGCTTCCATCGCCGCGACATTAGATTCACTTGCGATAGCGAACCACGCATATGGGTGTTGTGCGTAGAGATGACGTTGAAGAGTCCACAATGGCATAACATTACGATTTTGTTTAGCCACATGTCGGTAGTAAAGTGCCTTTCCAGCTCCAATATTAAGTTCTCCTGGCATATTCATATTCCAAATATTCATAAGACACCATTCAAAAGCACTTCGAAAATGTAATTTATTGGCTTCATTTGGGCTCACATCCAGTGGAGTGAGAGCGCTTTTAACTTTACTCTGACCCGGCAGTTTACTTGGATTAATACTTGCAATACCAACATCACAGGTGGTATCACTGTGCATTAACTGAAAGGCTCGTGGAATCAGTGGATCATACCGTTCTCCCATCCTCCCTGGGCTTAACTCCATAAAGTCCAGCGGCCGTCGCTCCTCAAATCCCGGCTCTGCGCCCCAGTCGCCGTATTCATCCGCCTCCTCGAGTGTCTCCTCCGCGCGGTCGTAGTCTGTGATGACGACGGCGTGCGGATTGTCCTCCTGCGGGACGGTCGTGTTCGCCTGCTCCGCCGCGAGGATCTCCTCCACCTGCCGCACCAACGCACTCTTGCGGGCCCGCGGGTCCACGCCGGTGACGCGGCAGTGCTCCTGCAGGAAAAAGGCGAGCTCCGGCACCGAGAGGGAGAAGAGATTCCCCTCATTCCACAGACCCCACACGGTGTTGTGCGTGATGTGCGAGAAATCACCACCGGGCGTGGGAGTCGTGGCCTGATGTCGACGTCCACACCACAGCGGGGAGCCAAATGTGTGCAGAGAAGAATAATGGGAAGAAGAAGAGGAGGAGGAAGATGAAGTGGATGTGGATAAGGGAGACAGCATACAGCTGGGGCTACCGGCGGCTATAAAGAGGGCACGATGACGAATACGCAACATGAGGGAATGAATAGATGGATGGATGGAAACAATAGAAGGCTATCGTTAATGATGTGTTTTTTTTTTTCTTTTCTTTTTTAAAAAAAAAAATAAATAATGTCTCTGTTGTTTACTCCCTATAGGTGATGCGTTCTTTCTGTGTTTCCTTCGTTCTTTTTTTTTTTATTTTATTTATTTTTATTTTTTTTTGTTTTAGATCTTTTTTACTTTTTCTTTGTTGTTGTTGTTGTTGTTTTTCTCCTTTGGTTTTCTTTTTTTTTCTATTACCCTCTTTCCCTAGGATGATGATGATATGTTCCTTTTTCACCCGACGTGTATAAATAAAATAAATATTATTTTTCTTCTCTTCTCTCTCTCTGTGTGTGGGTGGGTGTACCTATGAATGTGTGTTTGTGTGTGTCTTTGGGTTGCGCACACTAAATTAATAAAGAAGAAAAGAACAAAGAAGGAAAGAAAGAGTAGATACATGCAAAAAATGGAAATACATACACATATAAATACACATATATACATAGAATTATATATATAATGAAACCAAGTCCATGAAAAGAAAATAACACAATATTCGCAGTCAATTCCATACACAACAAAATAATAATAATAATAATAATAATAATAATAATAATAATAATAATAACAATAGTAATAGTAATAACAAAAGTAATAATAATAGTAATAGTAACAATAATAATAATAAAGGAAAACAACTTGATGGGGAACGAAAAACAAAAAAAAAAGAAGGAAGGGGAAGAAGGGGAAATATAAACAAACAATAAGAAGAAGTGGAAGAAAAAAAAAGAAAAAAAAACGAAGGTACCAAAAAGAGGGTTAGAAGAAAAGAGCAATAAAAAAAGTCTAAATTCATAATTATAACTTTCTGCAGAAGGTGTACTGAGAAATGGGAGTACATCATAAAAGCATTTGGTACCAAAAAAAAAAAAAAAAAAAAAATTTTTTTTTTTTTTTTTAATAAATAAATGAAATGCAGACGACCCCAAAAAAAAAAACTCCTCACGTCAGCAATAGAAACAGAACAGTAGAAAAAAAAAAAAAAAAAAAAAAAAAA